TACACAAGCACACATATTCAAACAACACAAGCACACATATTCAAACTACACAAGCACACATATTCAAACTACACAAGCACGCATATTCAAACTACACAAGCACACATATTCAAACTACACAAGCACACGTATTCAAACAACACATGCACACATATTCAAACCTTGGTCCGTCAGAAAGAACTCCTTCTGGTTGCCTTCGTTGCAGTACGTCATCTCTCCTCCGTTCATCAGACGCTGCCACGACATGTCCACGTTGCACTTGCGCATGGCTGGCATAGCCTGAACACGACAGTGGTATTCAGTGGTAGTTGTGAGTGAATGAGCTGTATGATGTGGTAGGTAAAAGTTAGGAGATCCTAGCGAATGGACCACGCAGGTGTATGTATTTGATGATACGTAGATGTGTCAATGTATGTAGATGTGTTCGTGTGGCTGCTGTGCATGGCTGATATGTTTCGAGTGTTGTGTGTGCGTGAGTGGGGTGTAGTGGGAATTGAGTGTAAGTGTGTCATAAAATAAGAGCTAGTGTGTGAATGTTCGTAGTGGAGTGAAAGTGAATTGGGTCAAAGTGTGTAGTAAGATAAGAATGTAGTTGTGCTCGTGTGGCTGTTGTGTATAGCTGGCATTGCCTCTGACAGTGATAAGTAAAGTGTTAGGTGTATGTTAGTGCTAGGTGTAGGTATGTAAGTGTTAGATGTAGGTATGTTAATGTTAGATGTGGGTATGTTAGTGTTAGGTGTGGGTATGTTAGTGGTAAGTGTAGGTATGTTAGTGTGAGGGTGTAGGTATGTTAGTGGTAGGTGTAGGTATGATAGTGGTAGGTGTAGGTATGTTAGTGTTAGGTGTAGGTATGTTAGTGTTAGGTGTAGGTATGTTAGTGCGACGTGTTGGTACGTTCGTGTTAGGTGTAGGTTTGTTAGTGTTAGGTGTAGGTATGTTAGTGTGAGGTGTAGGTATGTTCTGCAGATGAGTCGGTGGTTGGCACTGGCCCGTTGCTGCATACATTCAATACCAACAAACATTCAATGAACATACCTGTCGCAGCGTCGTCCCCGCATAGCTGTCGTCATGGTAACCAATGCGGTACTTGGCCAGGTTGTGACAATTGCTACGCTCACAGGCATCCACGCTAACCTGAACATAAGTGGTCTGAAAAGCCTCAGAGAAGGCACTCAGCACAGTGTGTTGTAGCTCAGCGTCTGGGAAGTCCTTGAGCATATGCCACTCGCCCCAGTAACCCAGTAGCCCTGCTTGGATGGAAACGATCCGCTGCACACGGAGATGTCCGGGTTTAGGGTTTAGGGTTTAGGGTTTATCCTATAATGACGATTGGTGTCAGTGGTGTGGCTTGGATATCGCATGTGACTGCGTCGAGTTTGTGTTGCGAGGTGAGGGCTTTGGCTGCTCATGGCCCACAGTATATCTATACCATAGTGATGGTAAGGCAATGTGAGTTGGTTACTTACGATGTGTAGTGATGGATAATAGTGATATGCAAAGCATTTAACCCTAAACCCAAGAAAGCCGAAGGGCTCTACCCCCCACAACTTAAGCCAGCAGAGAAATGTATACGTTCTACAACGTCGCATATGTTGTTGCCCCGTCGAGAGACTCGCAGACGACATGATGAGCGGATCACCACAGGAGACGCAGGTGAGAGCACTCACCAGCATACACATACGCCACACACACCAGCGGAATCATGAAAGATCAACCGTCGCCAGCGTACACACACGCCACACGCACCAGCGGCACCTGGTTACTTCTTACTTGTGGTGTAACGTCGTGGAGTCATGAAAGGTAAACCTCTGCACTAGAAAATGCCCTGGAGGTCTTCATTAATCCAGTTACTGATAGTAACACACCAGACAAACGCTGACTCCATATGCAGTGTAGTATTCTCCTACTTTTCACAACCACAACACCCACGTACCTTGTCTCCATCGTACTTCTGACCCATCGCGCGGATGAACTCATTCAGAGCGCGCCTGAAGTGCTGGTTGGTGTAGTCTGGTGCTTTGCCTTTGTCGCCGTATGCGTCGTACGCGCTGGTTTTGACGTTGAGAAAGTCGGGCGCGCGGTGCTCGGGATAAGTGGACGGATAATCCACGACGACGCGGAAAACAGCGTGCCTACCACGCGCGCACACCTCCGCGAGCCACTGGTCGATCTTGTCCCTGACGCAGAGATTGATACAACAGGACATGAGAACAAAAACAGGGCATCAGCATGAAAACAGGACATGAGAACAAAAACAGGACAAAACAGGACATCAGAATAAAAACAGGACATGAGAACAAAACAAGACAAAACAGGGCATCAGCATAAAAACAGGACATGAAAACAAAACAGGACAAAACAGGACATCAGCATAAAAACAGGACATGAGAACAAAAACAGGCTAAAACAGGACTTCAGCATAAAAACAGGACATGAGAACAAAAACAGGCCAAAACAGGACATCAGTATAAAAACAGGACATGAGAACAGGACTGTGCAATGACTACACATGCTGAGCGATGGATGTACACATGAAACCATAAAAATAGGACATGAGAACAACAACAGGACATAACAGGGCAGTAAAATAAAAACAGGACATGAGAACAAATGAAGGCCACATCCCGCTGCCTGATCGCACGTGAACCACAGCCCTACCAGTGGTACTGCCCAAAGCCAGTCATGAGGTCATGCATGGAGAAGTAGCTGAACTCCAACGTAAACGGGTTGTTTCTGTCACTCCCACCGTACAATAGCCATCCTTTGAGCGGTTGTGTGTACTCTGCATGGACCGGAAGATCATTATCATGCACACAATATGAAGAGAAGTGTAGGTAGGGTTGTAGGTACACACAGTGTGAAGGGAAATGTAGGTAGGGTTGTAGGTACACACAGTGTGAAGGGAAGTGTAGGTAGGGTTGTAGGTACACACAGTGTGAAGGGAAGTGTAGGTAGGGTTGTAGGTACACTCAGTGTGAAGGGAAGTGTAGGTAGGGTTGTAGGTACACACAATGTGAAGGGAAGTGTAGGTAGGGTTGTAGATAGCCGAGAAGATCAGTATACTTCTCGAGTACGCACGTGGTATGAAGGTTAGAATCTTTACCATCAAGTCCATATAAGGGATAGCTGAGATTAGAGAAGAGATCAGACTAGACTATATAATGACACTACACATGAATATAAAAAATACGCTATGAAGTGAGATTGGTCAGTGAGAAGCGTTTCAGAACGGCTTGGCAACACAACTAGTGCGGGTATAACCACCTGGAAGAGTGCGCACCTTTGAAACGAGCGTACTGACTTGGAAAACAAAGATAGCAGGCTTGTAAATATAAATGTACTCATCGAAATGTACATATGCTATAATGAATTAAGTACCAACAAGGAAACATAGAAATTTGATTAGGATTTTATTGTATATATAT